ATATATATATATATATATATATTGAATTTTATTTAATTTTTTACATTTTATTTATTTATTATTATTTTATTATTATTTTTTGTTTTTTATTTTTATTTTTTGAAAAAGGACACCTTTAGATTTCTTGAGCAGCAAATCAGCATATTAGAATGATTTCTGAAGATCATGTGACACTGAAGACTGGAGTAATGATGCTGAAAATTCAGCTTTGATCACAGAAATAAATGACATTTTACAATCTATTACAATAGAAAACAAAATAGAATAATATTTCACAATATTACTGATTTTAATGAAATAAATGCAGCCTTGATGAGCAGAAGAGACTTCTTTCAAAAACATTAAAAAAACACCACAAACTTCACAGGAATGAATTACATTTAGAAGTATATTCAAATAGATGACAGCTGATTTAAACGGTAATAACAGTGAAATATCATTACAATTTTTACAACTTTTCTATTTGAATATATTCAATATTAATATAAATGCAACTTTTTAGTGTATTTTTGGTCAAATGAATACAGCTTTAGTGAACATACTGTAAGATTCTTCCTAAAATCAAACTCAAAAAAATGTAATAATTTCTTTGTTAGTGTTTACAAAGTCAAAAAATTTTGCCAATTAAATATTATCAGTGATTTAATTGGCAGCGCAGGTTTCTGTCAGTCTGAAATGATTACATCCTCAGAAAACAGGAGTCGCGTGTAAGAGCTCTGTGTGTGATGCTTGTCATTTATACTGACACACACACAAAAACACTGAGATGCATTGAGAGAAAAGAATCAAGAATCAGTGAAGGACACTGAGAGAAAACAGAGAGACGCAGCAGAATGCATCACTAATCTCACAGACAGAAAGAGCTGCAAACGCTGGTCTGTTCCTCAATCAAACCCAATAAAAGAACAGAGGAAATGTCTTAAATGCTGCTGTTGAATGCAGGCTGAAAAAACCCCAACAGACACAGTATCAAATCTCATCTCTGTAATTTGTGTGCCACTAATGCTTTCTGTTTCTCTCAATTTAATGTGCAGCGGCCCCCAAAGTATCTCAACACTCCAATCACAATTAAAAATGCATGAATATTATTGCATTAGATTATAAAATATCAAAGCAGGTGTCATTAATTTTAAGGAAAGACAATGTACAAGCAAAGTGAGCTGTGCCACTTTGTGGTTGTGAGACACTAGTGGAAAGCATTCATGTGGTGAACTTCTCTAATGCAGTGACATTCAGACATTAATAACTGTCACTTAAGTGTCCAAATACTTTTGGAGCAAATCTATATGCATTATAACACAAAATCTTGCAGCTTTGAAGGGATGAGCTACATTCAAAGTCTTAAATTAGCTGATATATATTTCTGTCATATATATATAATTTTTGGCATGGTAATGTACATGACAATGTTAATGTATTTGGTCTTGGCGGAATAGATCTGCTACGCTGCTGCTGCTGCTGCAGAGCAAGTACCGAGACTTGCTACTGCCAATACATCCACAACATGCTGCTGTGAGCATGTAAGAAATATTGCTGCTGCAAATATAACATACATGAAACAACCCCCATATAGCATACATGAATCACCTCGTAGCAGATCTATACAGGTGGAGCTGGGGAAGGTGGAGGGTTTCTGAAACAAGCTGCACTGCTACGGCAAGCACTAGTCATATATTTGAATGTTGAGCAGCGAGCTCATTGGCTACCGATACAGGAGAGAACCAATCAGCTGTGCCATGTGATAATGATGTCATGTCAGATTGAGTTAGACCTATCAGACTGCGCCATCCATGAACTCTGTATATGTACTCCTGTGAACAGTCATTTTATACTGATGCAATAATTTGCTACAAAACTATGAATAATATTGAGGGATCACACACCTTCTGATCAATTTATTTCCGTGGATAAGGATTAATGTGGATAAAATACTATTAAATAATTTAATAGAGACTGCACTCACACAATCAATGTCTAACAGTTAAAATATTTTAGATTTTGAATTTGCGTTAACTATGCAAATCATTTTAAGATTTAATTCATTTCAATGACACTTATAATAATATCATATACTACCATTCAAACGTTTAGGGTCAGTAAGATTTTTAAAAATATAAAAAATGCATTTATTTGATCAATCAATCAATCCAGTAAAAACAGTAATATTATTAAATATTATTACAAATACTATTAAAATAACTGTTTTCTATGTGAATTCTATAATGTAGTTTATTCCTGTGATCAAAGCTGTATTTTCAGCATCATTATTATCAACTTAAAAAAGTTGCAGCTTAATATTTTTGTGGAAACAAAAAAAAAAAATTACATTAAAAATGTCTTTACTGTCACTTTGATGAATTAAATGCATTCTTGCTGAAAAAAAAGAATTAATTACTTTTAAAAAATTACTGACCTCAATATTTTGAACAGTAGAGTTTATACAATAACACAAATACTAAATATTATATATTTATCTTTATTATATATTTGTAAACTTGACCATGGGACCTGTGTAGGCCTATGTTATGCAATATAAATGCTTTGTATTGTATTAAATGCGTTATTAAAATACTTGTGAATTGAGCACTGTTCTGTGCGTCTGTCCATCAAAATCAAGCCCACAATTCTCCAGAAAATGCAGGATGGGATTTGCATACATCCGTGCTTTTCCCGCGAACGCGTTTGATCTCATTAACATACGGCCGGTGAAGCGCGGCAGAACGGCAGCGGGACGGCGACGCAGACCGGCCTCCCCCTCTACTCTCTCTCTCTCTCTCTCTCTCTTTCTCTTCTCGGCTCGCTGTCAAAGCCATTAGCTCGGCAGGAACCTGATCTGAGCAATGTGCTTGGATTGCTGTTCCAAGTCCACACTCCGCTCCCCGTGTGTCTGTCGTATTGATTTTCCCCTTTACCACACGGCTTGTCGCTGTGAATTTTCTCGGCGCGCCAAGTTGCCAGCAGCGCCCCTCCTTTCCCGAATGCGAGCGAAAACACACAGGATGTCCTCCTACGAGTGTTGTACCATAGGCGTGCGGCTGTATTTTTAGCGCCGAGTGTTTTTGTGCGCCACCCTTGGGGGGATAATCAGAGTCTGGTGACTTTGGGGCACGGCGAGGGGCCATACATTTGCAGCCGGTGTCACCTGTTCCCGTCAGCGGGGCGCGTGGCTGCAGGTGCCGGACCGATCTGATTGGATGTGATGGGCTCAGACAGACGCGGGGCCGCTCTGGTGTCCACGTTTCGCTGGGCAGCGCGCCGCCCGTGGCTCTCGCGACACACAGGCAATCAACTAAGTGACCACGATTCCCAGACAAGTCGCACTAAGTGGCATTCTGAGCCCTATGGCTTTGAAATAATTGGTAGAGGGCAAAACAAGAGGAAGGGGGAAAAAAAGAAGTGTTTTTTCTCGCCTTACATTGATGCCCTGCGGACTGTACATCTGGTTTGCTGCGAGGCCATCACTGTATCCTCCTGTCTGGCTGATAACATGGCGAAGGGTATCCACCTGAAACACCGCAAAACAACACGGCAAAGTCAGAGCGTGCGAGACGCGAACGCAAGGTCGCAAACAAAGCAAAGTCAGACGACACGACAAAGAAGAAAGCAAGGTCAAAGAAAGCAAACAACAGTAACAGACGACACAAAGACAGACGTACAAACACATGATGACACGCGAACAATAAAACACATTACAAAGCCTGTCTCTATGGCTCTGTTCTGAAGCCTAGTGAGCTGCCTACCTAGACAGCATTCTCCAAATTGCTGCCTTATAAGATACAATTTTGGCCAAAATCTACAGTAGCATTGTGGACTTCCAAAACGCATTAGAACAAAAATGATCCAAAATCGCAGACAAAACAAGAGAAATGTTGATTAAAAACATACATACACTACTGTTCAGAGGTTTGCGGCCAGTAAGACTTGGTCACCAACTTTTGTTCACCAAGGCTGCATTTATTTGATCAAAAATACAGTAAAAATTGTGAAATATTATTACAATTTCAAATAAATGTTTTCTATGTGAATATATTGTAAAATGTAATTTATTTCTGTGATCAAAGCTGTATTTTCAGCATCATTACTCCAGTCTTCAGTGTCACATGATCTTCAGAAATCATTCTAATATGCTGATTTGCTGCTCAAGAAACATTTCTGATTATTATCAATGTTGAAAACAGTTGTGCTGCCCAATATTTTTGTGGAAATCGTGCTACATTTTATTCTTCAGGATTCTTTGATGAATAGAAAGTATTTTTTCCAATAAATAAATAAATAAAATCTTACTGACCTCAAACTTTTGAACAGTATATGTCATGCAATACTGAAAAGTATTAATAGAAAGGTTCAGATATAATTTAAAATGATCAAATTGTAATACTTTACACAATGTGTATGATTATGCTTTTATTCATTAGCAGCTCTATTGAAGTCATTAATCGAGTTGCTGTCTATTAGTAGCGGACCAATATTGATTTTTGTGATTGCCAATGCCGAAATCTTGGAGAGCAGGGTGGCCAATATAAAGTCTATGTATCATATCCCTATTTAATATAAAGATAGTAGAAGCACATTCATAACAAATGCGGAAATGAAATTGATATTTATTTTACATATTTATACATTCATATGATAAAAAGTTGTACTTGACAAAAAAAAAAAAACATCTAAAATAAACATTTTATTTAGGTGTCAACTTCTTGATTCTGTGCTGTCAAAATAAAAGTCCTGCTTCCGACACATCGGCAAAAACAGATAAACTTTTTGGCCTATGCCAATAATAAACAAAATTCCAAATATCGGCCGATATATCAGTTGACCACTACTGTCTATGTAGAGCGTTTCAAATCAGGTTCAAATTCAGTCAGCTTCCTATGTAGGCAGTAGACAGACAGGCAGTTCACAAGCTTTAGAAACTTTAGAATATCGTAAAGAAGAAAATCTTTTCCTACATCAAGATTTTACTTAAAACACACACACTAGAAATGTTTATCATGTTGCTACACCCCCACGACGAGAGCTGTAGTGTGTGTGCTGGTGCGCTAAGGGTTGTTTAGTGATTTATTGGCACTATACCTGTGACTGCACATTGGCTCCCACCTGAGAGCTCTGGTACGAGTCCCCATTCAGAGACTGAACACTCATAAACAAATCGCCAGAGTTTGACATGTTAAAAGAGCCAGCAGAACCTGAGAGGTGCACAGACACAACAGAGAGAGACAGAACAAGCCAGAGAAATGAGTTTGAAGAATTCAAGGAAGCAGGTATATCAGTTGACCACTACTGTCTATGTAGAGCGTTTCAAATCAGGTTCAAATTCAGTCAGCTTCCTATGTAGGCAGTAGACAGACAGGCAGTTCACAAGCTTTAGAAACTTTAGAATATCGTAAAGAAGAAAATCTTTTCCTACATCAAGATTTTACTTAAAACACACACACTAGAAATGTTTATCATGTTGCTACACCCCCACGACGAGAGCTGTAGTGTGTGTGCTGGTGCGCTAAGGGTTGTTTAGTGATTTATTGGCACTATACCTGTGACTGCACATTGGCTCCCACCTGAGAGCTCTGGTACGAGTCCCCATTCAGAGACTGAACACTCATAAACAAATCGCCAGAGTTTGACATGTTAAAAGAGCCAGCAGAACCTGAGAGGGGCACAGACACAACAGAGAGAGACAGAACAAGCCAGAGAAATGAGTTTGAAGAATTCAAGGAAGCAGGAATGCAGAGTTATAGTTAGATAAGCTTTTCAGAGCATAAGATCCAGCAGCCCATAAAGAAGACGAAGATCAAGAATCAATGCTAAGCAGGAGAGATCCAGCTAAAAGCAAACTCAGATATGTGCATATTTGGTCTGAGCTTATAAAAATAACAACAGAATTTATTTTTCAGTTAAATGGCAATATTAATTTTAATCTGATGCGAAACATGTTTGTGAGAAAGACATGTAAAATCTTTGATTGATCTTGAGTCAACATTCACATTTGCATACGATTTTATTTCTATAGTCTGATGTTTTCACACGTCTTTTTGTGTGCAACAGAATTTTCAATGAGAAAAAATGTCCAAGTTGTATAATCCATAACTTGTAAAAAATTTACACTACTGTTCAAAAGTTTGGGGTCAGTAAAATGTAATTTATTTTTTTTAAAGAAATTCATATTTTTATTTGAAAAGTGACAGTAAAGACATTGATAATGTTACAAAAGATTTCTATTTCAAACAAATGCTGTTCTTTTGAACTTTCTATTCATCAAAGAATCTTGAAAAATAAAATGTATGATGGTTTCCACAGAAATATTCGGCAGCACAACTGCATTGATATTTGATTTTTCAGCATTGATAATAATCAGAATGTTTCTTGAGCAGCAAATCAGCATATTAGAATGATTTCTGAAGATCATGAGACACTATTAGAATGATTTCTGAAAGATCATGTGACACTGAAGACTGGAGTAATGATGCTGAAAATTCAGCTTTTATCACAGAAATAAATTAAATTTTACAATAAATTCACATAGATAAAAAAATACTTTTAAATATTTAAAATAGTAACAATATTTCACAATATTACAGTTTTTTTTATCAAATAAATGCAGCCTTGGTGAGCAGAAGAGACTTTTTTCAAAAACATAAATATCTTACCGACCCCAAACTCTGGAACTGTAGTGTATTTTTAATATTTTGACAGAGCCCTCGTCCCGTTTCAGGTGAAAAAATTTTCAATCGTTTTTCAGAGACTAGCTTTCAGCTCCACATACAATAAAGTCTTCTCATATACTAACAAAAGACATTTCCCACAGTGTGACATCAGCTCTCCAGCTGCATGGCTGTATGAAGTCCTGCCCCTCATCAGGCATCATGGGAATGAGTGGAGAGTTTATATCGCCTCACCTGCTGAGTTTGGAGTGGACGGGGAATTGGTCTGGCTGCCATGTGCCGACACACTCGCCGCGCTCACAGCCGTTCTGGCCGCGTAGATGTTGGCTTCTTCCTGGAATTTTCCGATGTTCTTCTTATATCGGATCCGTTTGTTTCCGAACCAGTTGGAAACCTGCCCAGAAAAACATTGTTAAGACATGTGTTTTCCAATACTGTGTCCTCTTGAACCCCATGCGAACAAACCATGATGGACAACGAAAAATAAACAGGTTCTTAGATGCAACTTGACACACTGGTCACACATTACATCATGCAAAAATCATGTGTAGTACACAAATATGTACAGTATATCATTCAAAAGTTTGGGGTCGGTAAGGTTTTTGAAAGAAGTCTCTTCTGCTCACCAAGGCTGCATTTATTTGATCAAAAATACAGTAAAAATTGTAAAATTCTGAAATATTATTACGATTTAAAATAACTGTTTTCTATGTGAATATCTGTTAAACTGTAATTTATTTCTGTGATCAAAGCTGAATTTTCAGCATCATTACTCCAGTCTTCAGTGTCACATGATCCTTCAGAAATCATTCTAATATGCTGATTTGCTGCTCAAGAAACATTTCTGATTATTATCAATTTGGAAACAGTTGAGCTGCTTCATATTTTTGTGGGAACGTTAATGGTTTTTCAGGATTCTTTGATGAATGGAAAGTTCAAAAGAACAGCATTTATTTGAAATGAAATCTTTTGTAACATTATAAATACCTTTACTGTCACTTTGGATCAATTTAACGTGTCCTTGGTGAATAAAAGTAATAATTTCTTTTAAAAACATCATACTGACCCCAAAGTTTGAACAGTAGTGCATACTGTACACACGATGCATTGAATATTATAGTTCAATGCACTCACAATTTTTAATTCTTTAACCGTTTCTCCTTCTTGATTCATTATTTAATCTAAGTGTTAAAAGTTCAGATATTTTCTTGACAAAAAATACAAACAAAGCATTAAATAACCAAAACGAAAACTCCCTACAACATAGTGAGATCATGTTAAATTTCCATGTGAAAATTTTAAGTAGAAAGACTGAAATAGTATTTTCCGTCCGTCAACAAATATTTTTTTATAAAAATAATAATAAAAAACTCGGCACACATGAACGCCACCACAATGGCCAGCAGAAAACTTGGGATTCTTTACAGCAACGCGAACCACTGTAAAAATGATTTTTCTCAGTTCTAAATAAAACAATTATTTGAGTACTGAAAATACTATTTCAGTCTTTCTACTTGAAAACTTCACATTTATTAATGAATGTGTTACTTGCCATTTGCATGGGGTTTTTGAGTGAAACTCTTGTGCAGTGTAGAACAATGAAATACATAACCAAGTACACACTCAATGTGCAGCCTTTGCTAAAAAGTTTGAACTACTGCTAAAAGATTCCAAAAGAGTAAAAACTCAATACTTGCAATTCATTTGCTGCATATCCAAAAAATTATTACATGCCAAGATACTAGCAATCTTTGTGCAAAAATAAAATGCTCAGTGCATTTTGGGCTGAAAAAGTGCTCAAGAGCCTCAATTTTTGATTTTCAGTTTTATTCTGATAGCATATTCTGATCACAGCACATATGACCAGCTGAAGCAAAATGCAACAGTGGCTGGCAGACTTCACGACAATGAAGGATGCTATCGACAATACTTGTGATAGCCACAAGGACAGAGGTCTAACCATGATGGACACACACACACACACACACACACACACACACACACACACACTAACATTAAAATAAATGATCACTTACACTCTGGCAGCTATGATCACAGTATACACTGACAGCAATCACTCAACACACACTAACACCCATTACGGCTAATACAGCAGCGGATGAGGCTCTGCGCTAATGATAAACACCATTACCATGAAAAGCTAATCAATCCTGCAGCTAAGCTTCCCGTTCCCGCGAGAGGCTAAAGGTGTTTCTATATAACAAACGGTGCGGCAGTCATCACTCATCCCGCGAGTCTGACTCAAAACCAGGCCTAAATGCATCATACAATCATTTCAGCTAAATTTATTAAATAGTTTAGAATGCATTATGCATTTAGCGCAGCAGATGAAAAATGCTAAGAGGCATGTGGTGCCATGCTGCAAATGATTTTGTTTTCGAGTTGCATGAGGCTGAACTCACGTGAGTATTACTGATATATTTTACATGCAAAACAGGTAGAAACAAACATCGGATGTGTCTCAATATCTGGCGAGCTGCCTACCTGGACAGCATTTTTGGAAAGCGTGCAATTGTAACTCTATGGTATTTTTTTGAAAATGCATGGTATATAAATATGCTAAACATGCCATACTGAATATTAAAGAACCATTCCTATCCCTGAACTGTGAGAGATCAGTAGAACGATTTGTGGGTACTATATTTCGGGTGGTGGTAATGAACGGATGGTTTTCAGTGTTGTACCTGCGACATGGTGATCGAACACTTCTTGGCCAGCTCTTCTTTGGCCTCCTCGCTGGGATACGGGTTACTGAGATGAGAGTAGAAATATTCGTTCAGGATCTCTGTGGCCTGTTTGTTGAAGTTTCGTCTTTTCCTCCTGTGCAGACAGAGGGAGAGAGCAACACAAAACAAATCAGATTTGGACATCTTGCCAGAACTTGTGCTGTTGCATATACTTCATGTTTCATATCAAATATTTTGGTAAATATAGAGTAAGTAACTGCCGCTGACCATCTACACTTAGGTGACCCATTACTTTAAGAAAATTAGAGACACAAACCACACGTTTTTGTTGTTGTGGGATTTAATGAGAGATTATTTATGAGAGATTATTTATTCTTAGATAAACTAGTAAAATTTAAAAAACTGGGTAAAACATAAAATCCAGCTTGAAAAGCAGGTCAAAGCTACCATGAAATGTGAGAATTTTCAATGTTAGATAAACTAGTAAAATTGAAAAGTTGGATAAATCATAAAACCTAGCATGAAAAGTAAAAGGTATAAAAGGTAAAAGCTACTATTCAACCCTGTTACCAAAGATACTGTCAGAAAAATTATCAAATATTTGTTCTTTAATTTATTGGAAATAAACAATAATTTGATCAATAATGATATATCAACTAACTCGCTCTCTACTGATTTAAACTGAATATGCAACTGTTACCTATTTATTTCATTTAATTTCATTCAATTTCATTTTATATTATTTCATTTCAAATTCATTTTTAATAAAATTTTATTTACTCCTACTTTAATTTTACTTTATACTGAGTAACAGATTGATTTAAACTGAATATGCAACCCTGCTATCTATTTATTTCAGTTTATTATATTTCATTTCATTTGATATAATTTTTATGGTATTTTATTTCAAATTCATTTTGTTTTCTATTCATTTACTTTTACTTGAATGTTACTTTATACTGAGTGATAGATTGATTTAAACTGAATATGCAACACGGTTACCTATTTATTTCAATCTGTATAATAATATTTTATTATTTCATTTATTATTTTATTTTATTGCATTATATTATTGTAATTAATTTAATTTAAATGTCTTTATTTTGAAGTTTAAACTACATATTAATCCCAATCTAAATTGGTAACATGAAATACATAAAATACATGTAAATTAAAGCAGCACATGTAATATTTAGTTTGGCCTCCTTAAACTATTTCCATAGATTAAGGCCATATTTTGCAGCCTATTTCGTGTAAGTGTGCAAAGACAAATCCAGCAGGCAGATGCTTCAATGCTTGAAAGGAAGAATAAAGCAGACCCCACACATACTCAAAGAGAAGCTGAAATACTCTAAATTGAGCTTCGGGTGCCAATGAATTCAACCTCCTCTCGGCATCACTCATCTGTGGGTTAAGAGTGTGCGATTGGAGCTCATCTCGGGGGGTTTACATATGCAGCACTGAAGGGCCGGAACAGAGGGTGAGCCGATTTCCTCCCCAAAACCCCTCTTCACTAAATGCAAATGAGCACAGCATGGTCTCAGCCGGAGAGAGGATTAATCAGAGGAACTGAGCATGCTCCAAAGAGACGGAGAATGGATTCTGAGTGCTGCAAGGAAACACGAAGCTCATTTAAATGTTATGCCTCCGACTCCAGGCTTCCAGCGTGATTTATCCGCACAGAAATGTATGCAAATCCCAAGCACGTTTCAAAGAGAACAAGCGATTACACTGAGAAAGGGATGGACTCAACATAGCAACGAGTGTGTGGGTTTGGATGCGGCCCTAAAGGGAAACAGGAAAACACACGTGTGCAAATAAAGCGCAGGAGCGTTTGTTGACACGGATGTGATAGTTAGAAGCTTAGCGCTGAGCGTGATCTGCTCCGGGGAGAAGAATGAGAGCGCAGGGTTTGATTACGAGTGGATTTGCGCTCAAATGCATGAAACAGATGCAACATGCACGGACCTGGCGTCGAGGAAGCGGGAGCGCAGGATCATGACGGCCTCGCAGGTGCTCTGCTTGAGCTGCATCTGGATGGAGCTGAACTTGCGGTGGATGATGTTGACCATGCGCTCGATCTCTTTGGGCGAGATGGGCCGCGTGCGAGACTGCTCTCTCAGCAGGTTCATCACATGGGTCGTGAACTCGTTACACGCCTGGAAAGAGAGAAACACAGACACATGCATGTTGCCATAACAAGATACGGCTTACAGAAACAGGTTCAAGAGCTCATATCATGGAAAACAGGGTTCAGTCAGGACTTTTAGCTACTTGTTCAGTAACCATAAACGTTATGACATCACAACTGTGAGCTCATTAACATATTGCCACCCACCTTTGCATATCAACAGTTCAGTTCAGTTTTAAGTAACTTTTTGTCACTAGCCAATTAGCCAATCATAACAGAGCTCATTTACATACAGAAACAACAACAGCCTGTTTAATTCTAATGGTCGAAGCAGAACAAAGTTTTAAAAACAGAATCCTAGACTAACTTAAGTATATTTGATCAAAGAAAAGCTTATTATTTTAAAGAGTTCAAACTTTCTATGCCTGATTACAAAAGTACTAAAGTTATCCACCTTTTCTACATATGATTCAAAAAAGTCTGAGTAAGATTTTTTGAAAGAAATTAATAGTTTTATTCAGCAAGCGTGCATTAAATTGATCAAAAGTGACAGTAAAGACATTTATAATGTTAGAGAAGATTTCTACTTCAAATAAATGCTGTTCTTTTTAACTTTCGATTCATCAAAGAATCCTGAGAAATAAAATGCATCACAGTTTTTACTAAAACATTAAGCAGCACAACTGTTTTCAACACTGATAATAATCAGAAATGTTTCTTGAGCAGCAAATCAGCATATTAGAATGATTTCTGAAGATCATGTGACACTGAAGACTGCAGTAATGATGCTGAAAATCCAGCTTTGATCACAGAAATAAATTACATTTTAATATATATGTCAATAGTAAACAGTTATTTTAAATTGTAATAATATTTCACAATTTTACTGTTTTTTTTCTATATTTTTGATCAAATAAAATTGGAGGAAAAAAAACATGAAAAATCATACCGATCCAAAAGTAGTGTACACCAAATGTTTCCATGCTACACTCTTAAAAATAAAGGTGCTTCAAAAGGTTCTTCAAGCGATGCCATAGAAGAACCATTTTTGGTTCCACAAAGAACCATTCAGTCAAAGGTTCTTTAAAGAACCATCTCTTTCTTACCTTTTTATAATCTGAAGAAACTTCTTTCGCCACAAAGAACCTTTTGTGAAACAGAAAGGTTCTTCAGATGTTAAAGGTTCTTTATGGAACCATTTAGACAAAAAGGTTCTTCTATTGCATCGTGAAGCACCTTTATTTTTAAGAGTGTACTTAAAATTATACACTGGAGCTTCATTGTGAACACTACCAACAATCATAATATTAAATATCACCCATAAAAAATATAATTAACTGTCTCAAAAACAGCAAAAATAATTTAGCGTTATTCCGGGTCCACATATGAATTCTGAATGAACAGTATGCTGGTGAACGTATGACAGTGTGGATGCTGTCTATGTATTGTAATGCAGTGATATCTATAAAAACTCATCCATCTCTTGAGCCCTCATTCCTCCATAGAGTTCATTAATCATGCATAAAAATGAGGGTGACGGAGTCGTTACACTTTCAATATTGTGCCTTAATTCTGAAATGGCCTCATTGGCATGAGATTGTCATTACTCACGGAGCAACACAAACAGATGAGTAAGAGAGCAGAGAGCGTCAGGAGAACCAGGACTCATGGGAAGACCACAACAACAGTTACAGAGCGGATGATGAAGGGTGTTTTCGCTCTTGTGCCGGGTGGTCCGTCTGTGTGTGTGTTTGCGGTTCTCTATGACAGCTATGAATGTCCTTTTGTGAACAAACAAACAGAGGACACCTGGCCCTGTCCCAGAATGCATTTCAGTACATCACCTCTCCTCTGTCCGTACGGTTTATCATCAGGGATGGATCTATTGTCTGACCGCACTGAGAGCCAGTATGGCAGGCACTGATACTCACACTTAAACATGAATGATGCTCATCACGATGCTGATGGCTATAACCAGTCAAGTCCTGAGTATTTAAGAACCTACAGCAGCCTGATCTCAGCAGCAGTCATTTACATACAAACCACATTCACACACGCTTGAAATACAGAATTTCCTTCTGAGTTTTAATCATTTAAAAAAAGATTCCAAACAGTAAGTTGTATTTCAAGCCCTTGGACTACCGTATGTTCCAATTATAAATCATGTTTTTTAATAATTTAAAAACATGCTCTGACTTATATAATGCAATCAATGAATTAAATAATGAATTTCCATAAGATGTTTTCAAATAATTAAAAAAAAGATTTCAAACCGAAATGTTTAATTCAAGCCCTTGGGTTACCGTATTTTCAGAATCACTTTTTTAATCATTTAAAAACATGCTGCAACTCATATTCCAAATCGACTTATATAATGCAATTAATTAAGTAATACATTTCCTTCAAGAATTTCCTTAAGATTTTTAATAATTAAAAAAACAAACAAACAAATAAAAAGTTTAATTTCAAGCCACTGACTACCAGATTTCCCAAAATAGAAGTCGTGGTAAGTTTTAAAATATACGTTTTTTAATCACCTGAAACATGCTGCAACTTATGCACATTTGTATTCATGCCGAATGAGAGAAGTATGTGAGCACAATTTTATTTGTAAAGCACATTTAAAGCAGTAGTTCACTTCCACAATAAACATTTCCTGATAATTTACTCGCCCCCATGTCATCCAAGATCTTCATGTCTTTCTTTCTTCAGTCGCAAAAAAATAAAGGTTTTTGAGGAAAACATTCCAGGATTTTTCTCCATATAATGGACTTCAATGGGGACCAACGGGCTGAAGGTCAGATTGCAGTTTCAGTGCAGCTTCGAAGAGCTCTACACGATCCCAGCCGAGGAATAAGGCTCTTATCTAGCGAAACTATCAGTCATTTTCTTAAAAAAAATGTTGAGCCACGCACACACACTACATTAAAGTATAACAACGGCAGTCAAACAGATGTTGCACTAATCTAAATTATGAGATATTACAGTCAACATGAAATCAAAATTGAAGTGTTTACTTAAGCAAACGTTGCTGGTGTTACTTCAAACGATTCTTCAATGCATGTTATTCCAAATAAAATAAAAATGATTTCCATCAGTCAAAAAATCTGTCTGGTTTTGAGTATGTCAAAGTTTTAAGATGCTGAAATCCTCACAAATTCAGATTAATAGCATAGTTGTTCAAGCAAAAAAAAAAAAAAAAAAGTAAAATTGATCAATTTATGAATCAGATTTAATTTAGATTGTAAATAGCAGGGTTATTATAGTTAACTAAAACTGAAACTAAAATTAAAACCATTCAAAAATGTTGCTTACTTGAAAGAAAATAAATGCTAATTGAAATGTAAAAAAAATAATAAAAACATTATTTTTTTCTCATTTTAATTTAGTTTAACTTGATGTCCTAAAATAACTAAAAATAAAACAAAATAAAAATAAATAAAAACCATATAGACAAATAAAAAAATGATTAAAAATGACAAAAAACAACAAAATTACTCAAACTTTAACTTAAATTAAAAAGAAAACAGAAAATATTAAAATAAAAAATTATTCAAAATATTATTAAACATTATTATAGTATCTCAAGGATACTAAATAGTTTAAAGCAGTGGAAAGCAGAAGATAATAGTGTCATTATTCAGTTCAATTGTTTAAATTCAGTTCAATATTATTACTATAAGTTCAATATTGTTATAAATAATGATATTTATATAACTATCTTATATAATATCTATATACTATAATATTATAAGAATATATGATATAAAATAAAATTCAAAATTATTAATAGCATAGTTATTCAAGCATAGTTTACACTAATATTATTAGTACTTTAAGCAGCATCCCTGTAAAAGTGCTAGAAGCTTTCAGAATCTGTCTGTCAATATCTTTCTTTTGCATTTTTGTTTATACAAACTTATCGCCATGTTCAGTATGGTAAACTGGCTGCCAATTATTGGCCGCTGCACATATTCTTCAGGTTTTCTGACCTGTTCGTACTTCTCCAGCTCGGTGTGGTAGATCTGGCGGATCTGGGTGAGTTTGGCTCTGTAATCGGAGTGTTCGGCCGAGTTATCGGGGCCCCCTTTCTCCGGCCCGGACACGCCCTCCGCCAGCAGCATGTTGTCCAATCGCATCAGCTGGGCATCGGGAGACTCCTCCTCCTGGGCGCCACGGATACTCAACACTGGAACGAAACAAGCACGGAAAGGTTAATCAAACAGCTCGATATCCCAGGATGCACCGTGTGACGGCAGAGGCTTTGAATATACTGAGTCTGGCACGACGGGTCCGGCCTCATCGATCCACAGAGAATCAGCTCTTTCTGATGAATTGTCTTTGAGGCCGAAACAAAAAAACGTTCAAGGCTGCAGTTGACTTTGCCAAGTTTTATGATGATATAATAAAACTTAATCTAATTCATATCATGAGCTTCCCACTCAGCGCTTATGCTCTGTGGCTGTAAATCTCAGCATCCCTGCGCTCTCCGGCTCTGACACTAGAGGGCCTTAGTGCTTCGATTTTACATCAGACTCACTCACACACACACACACACACTCACACAAACACATGCTGGACCACACACACACACACGCTGGACCACATACACACACACACACACACACACACACTCTCACACATACACACACACACACACACACACTCTCACACATACACACACACACACACACACACTCTCACACATACACACACACACACACACACACTCTCACACATACACACACACACACACACACACTCTCACACATACACACACACACACACACACACACACACACATGCTGGACCACATACACACACACACACACAAAGAAAAGGAAATAAACACACACTTAAATCATTCTCTAGAGAAATAATGTGCTCTTCCACCATATGATATTAGACAAGTACCCATTTCATAAAGGAACTATTATTTTTTGTCATTTAATTTGAATATACATATTTGATACTTATATAAATATCATTATATTAAAAAAACTATATATAGTATGCATATATAGTGTATTAACACTACATTATATAAAATACTAGCATATGTTGATTAGTAGTAGTATTATTTAAATAATTTATATAAATATCTTTATATAAAAACTATACATAAACACATACATTATATTATTATTATTATTATTATTACTTACGTATTTGATATGTATATGAATATCCTTATTTTAAAAACTATATACAACAATACTGTTATTATTATTATTCTATATAACACAACATTCAAAAAAATATAATTATCACTATTTGTAGCAGTATCATTATAAATAATGGTATTTATATAAATACCTTTATATAAAAACTATATATTATAATACTACATTATATAAAATACTAGAACAATATTATTAGTGGTAGTATTAGCATTATAAATAATGATATTTATATAAATATCTTTATATAAAAACTATATAATATAATACTCTTTTACTATATTATTTTGAAACTTGTATATTATATAAATATAAAATACATGCATTATTATTATCATTATTTAAATGTAGTAATGCAATAAAAATGATATATGCAGTTCAAATTTAAAATACAATTCGACATCTTGTTTTCTCTCTCAGTATAAATCCAGGGACTGATCTGTGGAATATAAAAGGCTTTTTCTCAGTTCAGCTCTGATCGGCACACGATCCTGCTGCCAGGTTTGATCTTCCTTCCATTTTAATTATCAGTGACATTCTCGTCTCTCATCTAATGTCACATCCAGTTAGCGAGTCAGAGGTAGATGTAGTAATTTCCTCACTAGTTCTGACACATGGGCAAAAGAAGCGACTCTGAGACTTTAAGGCTGTGGTGGGACGGTCATCTACCGCGTGAACACTGATTATGGGCCGCATTGTCTGGGAGTGAAAGGAAACACTTCATTAATCCAGAGACAAAGCTGTGCACCGGTGCATTAACCCCAGACCGCTGCGGCCCGGTTTCAGACGGTGAGAAAGAGGCCGGCTGGATGGCCATCGAGAGGCTTTGGGAGGGGGACGTGACTCTGACCTCCTCCTTAAGTCAAAATGCAAATGCAAAGGCTGTTGGCGGTCAAGAGTTCACGGCTGGGGCCCAGCAGGAGCCCGAATGCGAGATTCTGTGTTTCTGAGTTTCACAGGCAACAACAGAAACATCCTGAAACAACCTGAAACGCTGGTATGGCTTCAGATGGGGAAAATCTCACAGGCTACGCAGATAACACGGATTAGCAACATGTATCAAAATATATAGAAATTAATTAAATCATTTGCCAAATGATGTCAAATCACTTGGAAAATTTTTTATATATCTTATAAAAAAATTGTGTTAGACTCTGGGCTTCTATTAAAATGAAATAAAATCGAATAAACAAATAAAATCAAATCAAATAAATAATTAGACAAATGAGGTCAGATCGCATAGAAAAATAACAGAACAACTGTACTGAACGAGGTGTGTGATTTGAAGAGTGATTCATAAATAAATCATAAAATAAAATGTTAAATAAAAAAATAAAAAACCCTAACCCTAACATAAAATAACAACACACACGTGACCCCTTTAAAAAAACTATTGCCAAGGTAATGTTTTTTTTTATGCAAGTCTGTGGGATTTCTTCATCTGTTTTATCATCCAGCAGATGAAAACTGTAAGTCTGATCAATTTTAGAGCACAAGCACTAAAAAGCAATGCAATAAAAGTCCACAAAGCAGGTGTTTCTTATTTTATACGCCTCCTGTAATTTCACTCGATTACTGAAAAACACAAAGCAGAACATAACGCGGCTTGCCTGTAGTTAACAACTCATAAACGCCATATAAACATACCTTTCAAAGGCACTGAGACACTCTGACTTGTATCACAATATCCAAAAACCAGAGAATAAGGACTAAAACGCACTCATCACACAAGTTTAGCACATGTTTTACAGCACGTTTAGAAGTAAAAACCTAGACTGTGAGCACAAGGGAGTCTTGACAGAAACTCAAGGCCCAACGTTATAAAATGTCTAGACTGTCAAGTGAAAATGGAACATAAAAATCCCCCGTTCACGAAACGACGAGGCTCCCCTCTGCCAAGCACCGGTTTCACATTGGCGGGTGTTTATTTGACTTGGCTGGATGAATCTCCACCATCAGTCTGTTAAAACCAAAAGCTGATGGACACAGAGCGAAACCCCCCAAGCCAAACGCAATATGATACACTCGTTTGAAAGAATACAAATGGCACGGGATCAAAAGTTAAGAGAAAGAAAACAAATAATCTGAACATACAAGCGTGAGAGCCTTTATGGAGAGCCGTAGCGGATTCATGAGGTCATATTGAGCAATGCTTCAAGCACTATAAAATCAAGTCAGGTTTACAAGTGTGCTGTAATGCGGTGATCTGGCAAGAACCTGATCCTGTCTATAGTTTCACACGTGCTCGCCACAAACAGAGACTTCCTGCTGCTGCTGACGCGGTTTCACCCAGAAAACACACGGCTGTAGCATCTGTCAGGAGCGCTGTGACGGCATCAGGATCCCGCCATTTGGGCTCGACTGTCATCCCTCATCATTGACAGCTGATTGTTACACAGAGCAAAAGACCAAACCACGAGAGCACAGCTGCTCTTCATACAGCGTCTGCACAAACTGGATACGCATCCATCCCACCAATCAAACGCTGTCATTTTCTATGGGTTCAGGTGTGGATACACTGCAAGTTGGACATGTGAAATTATCCTGCAATGAATAAAAACAAGCATATAACAAGCACATGTAAAGTCTCTTGTCATAAAATCAAATCAAAATAAAATATAAAAACATTTTTCTTTAAAAAATTTAAAATTGCTTCTGAATGTTCTGAAGACAATGTGTCAGACTGTAGGTTTCTATTAAAATAAAACAAAATAGATAAATAAATAAATATCAAATCAAATAAAACAAAATAAATAAATAAATAAAAACACATTTAGTAAAATAATAAAATAAAACAAAATAAAATAAAATAAAATAAAATAAAATACATTTTTAATTCATAAATTAAATTAAATCTTAGAGTCTGAGACATTTTCTTGAAAAAGGTAATTTTTCATTTTAATTTCATTTTTTAAATTGTATTTAATTTTATTACAAACCTAGAATATGACACATTTTCTTTAAAAAAATGTAAAATTGGTAAAAAAAAATAATAAATTGTGTCAGATTGTAGGTTTCTATTAAAATAAAACAAAATAGATAAATAAATAATATAAAACAAAACAAAACAAAATAAAATAAAATACATTTTTAATTCCTAAATTAAATTAAATCTTAGAGTCTGAGACCTTTTCTTGAAAAAAAGTTTTTTTTTTTTGTTTTAATTTAATTTTTTTATTATTTAATTTAATTTTATTAGAAACCTAGAATATGACACATTTTCTTAAAAAAAAATTTAAATTGGTAAAAAAAAAAAAAAATTCAAAAATATTTATTTATGAAATAAATAATATCAAATAAAATAAAACTAAATAAATAAATAAAAACACATTTAGTAAAATAATAAAATAAAACAAAACATAACAAAATAAAATAAAAATACATTTTTAATTCCTAAATTAAATTAAACCTTAGAGTCTGAGACATTTTCTTGAAAAAAAGGTGATTTTTTTTTGTTTTAATTTCATTTTTTTATTATTTAATTTAATTTTATTAGAAACCTAGAATATGACACATTTTCTTTAAAACATGTAAAATTGGTAACAAATAAAACAATATTTATTTATTAAATAAATAATATCAAATAAAATAAAACAAAATAAATAATTAAAAACATATTTAGTAAAATAATAAAATAAAATAAAATAATTTGCCAAATTAAATCAGATCACATAGAAAAATACCAACTCTGCTTAACGAGCCGTGTGATTTGAAGAAAATAGTGTGGGACAAGTTACGTGTTGAAGTTTAATATTTGGGGTTTAGGTCCAAATATACTGTTCTAAATGAGTTCAATTTTCTATAGATTTCCTAATTATTTCCTTTATTTCTTTTCTGCCGAATAATTAAACCTGAAATAACATTCCTTTATGCATTTATTCCCAATTTACTTGGTTAAAGAGTCAAAACTGCACTTATAAACCACACACGGGAATATCCTACAAGACCACGTCTCACCGAGACAAATGATGATTTATTTATCTCTCTCGTAAACGAGAGCACATAATTA